TTTTGCTGTTTTTTCCCCTCTTTTCTTATGTCATTTTGCTGTGTTCTTTACCGACCATCCCGCCGACGCTGCTACACGTCTCGTCGCCAGAGCGGGGATCGTCGTATCCGGGGGCAAGGTCTGGGCCGTTGATCTTTGCTATCTACGGTCAATATCGCTTAATTCGTGCAAGTGGGACCTAGCCCCGGGCCGTAAATCCCCCAAGCAGCGGACGAGAGATTTTCAGCCCATGTAGCGAATCAAGCGCAGCAATCCGCGCTCAGTTGTTGAGGGAGGGCCCTCTTGCCACCGCCCCCAACGGCTAATTGGTTTGGGTACACACACTAGGACCTTTTCAACTCACCCCTGGGCTGTGAATGCGTCTAGGTGCATCCAGATTCATTTCAAAAAAGTGTCCCGTTTGTCCAAATCGTTTTCTTTTTTCTTTCTTTTTTTTTTTTGTCCAAATCTTTTCGGATTTGGGCCTCGCTGCACTGCTCACTCACTACATGCACAAACGACCAAAAAATTGTGCGCGTATCTTTCCATGTTCTGGAGAAGGTTCATTCTCTTCTTTTTTTTCTTTTTTTTTTTCTTGGGTTCATTCTCATTTGGTGAACACTGGAGCTCCCGGGGGCTAGGTCCCACTTGCACGAATTAAGCGAGATTGACCGTAGATAACAAAGATCGACGGCCAGATTCTCGTAATCCGTGCAAGTGGGACCTTGCCCCTGGGCCCAAGTCCCACTAGCAGCGTTGAGCTACCTCAACACCTCAATCTGGACGTGTTAGGGGAGCCCTTGACCGGATTCTTCATTTCTGGCCGTTGATTTTCATGATCTACGGTCGGGAATGGAGGATCCGGGTAAGTGGGACTTGGCTCCTGCAGTTCACGAAACTCAACACCATCTCTGCACATCTCCGCAAATCGCGTCCACATTCGGCCGTTGAGGTAGCTCAACCCTGCTCGTGGGACCTTGCCCCCGGTAGTAGCTAGGCCGATATTATCGAAGCCCCTCCCTCGTTTTTCCCGAAGTCCCCATCCTCCGTACGTACGTCCAAGTCCAAGTCCAACGTTCCCGCTTACACGAATTAAGCGATATTGACCGTAGATAGCAAAGATCAACGGCCACAATCTCTTAATCACCGTGCAATATGGACCGTAGATAGCAAAGATCAACGGCCACAATCTCTTAATCACCGTGCAAGTGGGACCTTGGGGGTGTACGTCCACGTCCAACAACGTTACCGCACCTCCGAAGCAGCACGTTCACACGCGCCTACCGGGGCCCAGGTCCCACTAGCAGCGTTGAGTTTCGTCAACGCCTGAATCTGGACGGGACATGTGCAGAAATCGCGTTGAGTTTTCTCAACCGCACATCTCCGCGAACGCGTCCAGATTCACTGCTAGTGCGACCTGGCCCCCGTACGTCCAAGTCCAACAGCGTTACCGCCCCTCCGAAGCAGCACCTTCACACGCGCCTACCGGTAGACCGTGGAAATGGCTCTGCTGCATCGTTTCCCAGTTGAGGGGCGGCTTCTACTATAGGCTGGATGGCTTCCGCGTCGGGCGGAAAGCCGTATGCTTTGCCCGTCGATTTTTCGAATCAACAGCCCACAACAGGTCGATTCTCGCGTCGATCGAGGCACAGGCTGCAGGCAGGGGAAGTGCCTCTCTTTTGGCAAGCCCAGACTGTACTGCACGCGGAGGCGCGGATAGCGCGGGCAGATCCGCAAGCTGCTGGCGGACCCTACGTCCTGCCTGCAAAACAAAAGACAACAGAGAAAAGCCGGTAGCTTGGGGAAGGGGGGAGGCGGGAGGAGGGAGGAAGTCGGAGTCCCACTTGCACTGATTAAGAGATTCTGGCCGTTGATCTTTGCAATCTACGGTCAGTGTCGCCTAATTCTTTTCTTTTTTTTTTCGCGTAAGTGGCACCTAGCCCCGGAAAAAGAAAAAAGCTTGAAGAGTAACGGTAACGGCACTGGTGTTATCACCTTGACGGCGGGACAAGTAGAGATTGCGAGGGCGCGCAAGGCAGGCGGCGCCCTTTTTCCCCCCGCCCGTTTTCCCCCCTGCACAGCGCACAGCGAGCCGACCCTCCTACCGTAGGAGGACGCCCCGCGGACGCTGTGTTTGTGCTTGAAAGCACGGACCTGGTCATAAAAGTGATCAGGTTCATGCTTTGCTTTCATCCATGAGCATCATAGCACGGGCCGCGCTGGGCGCTAACGGCCGCCAGTGCAGCTTCAGAACGCAATGCACGGACCTCGCCGTTCATGCTCCCTCCGCGCAAACATAACACTGGGACCTTGCCCCTGGTAGTGCGCGCTGACCCTGAAACAGCGTAACAGCCAGTTCTGGGCGACGGTGCTCTCTGCTGAATGCAAAAGGTGGTCGATATGCCGACTGCCCAAGACCCCTGGCTATGCCCCATTCTCCGGCCCCCACCGTAGCTCTTCCCACCGGAACACCCGGCCCCATATCCGCGGGGGAAGATTCCACTCAACCGCGAGAGCGCTACCGTCCGACCGTCGCTTCATTACTGGAATGCAACCGCGTAGAGCGGAGCCTTCGCCGGCCGAGTAGTAGAACGCCGTTTATTCCTTTTTTACCTTTTCAGCCGAGAGGGGGGTGCTGCATTGCTGAACCCTCAACGGGCGGGAAAAGAACTTGCTGAACTGGGCTCGACCTTTCAGGGTCTGGAAAGAAATATATATATATATATCGTCACAAACAGATATATATATCTCGTCAGACAGAGCTGCCCGGTAAACGGTAGGAAGAGAGGGAGAAGGGGACAACAAACGAGGGGCTGTGACAAACTGTTTCGTCCGAGTTCCACCGACTCATCATATATATATATACCGGGCAGTTCTATTTGACGATATATATATATATATCGTATATATCGTCACAAACAGAACTGCCCGGTAAAACGGTAGGCAGATATATATATATATATAGGACCAGATGGTACTAGAGCATGGATTGAAAAGATATGTAATGTTTTTAACATTGAACCAACAGGCTTAGAAGAAAGAGAAAATAAAATATGGGATGGACTAAAAGAATATTTAGATTTAGTTAGAGGAAAATCTGYATTTTTTATGGGAGATAATTTGTTAGAAATTTCTTTAGCTCGATTTTTACATTTAATTTATTGTATTCATTCTACTTACTATTTTTGATTCCCTTAATATGTTGAATATAATATTAATATAATATTATATATATATATATATATATATATATATATATATATATATCAGGGTCTGCCTCTCGGGCAAATGATGTTCCTAAGGCCTGACAAGTCAATCCATTGAGTGACAGGAAATCCTCAGAAAAGACCTCAGAAAAGACAACAGATATCATCTCCCACTCCGGCAGGAACTGTAGAGAACAGCAATGGTTCAAGACATCAGCCCCACAGGTTTGCTTTTTCAGAGTAGACAGAGTCCTCGCCAATGGCTCGGCTGAGGCCTCAGAATGGGCTCTATGTGACTCGACACCTGGGCTCTATGTGACTCGACACTTCAGCAGACCAAGGATCCTACGCCCACCTGCCTGGAAGGCATGCAGGAAAAATAAAGGTTCAACAAGCACCTGACGACTCCTTCCGCATCACCGATCAGGATATCACATGCCAGGATTGGAAAGTGGCGGCAGACAAACTGGGATCGGTAATCTCAGTTCCACATGAGGAGGATAACAGAGTCCCTTTAACGGAATACAGTGTCACCTCTAGGATAGGATACAGTCTCCATTCTGAGAATTTCTGACGCTCAATCCATTCAAGCAGGGCTTACTGTCAACTGGCAACACAGAGTAGCATCCTTGAAACTGAGACCGATTTCTTGTACTTGTACTTGGGTCGCCTGTGATACTCAACCTCACGCCCCCTCGCAGCTTCCCGTACGGGGTCGCCGATCAGAGTTCTAGGAGGGGCATGGCCGAGGATTTTTGGCCGTAAGAGTTGAGTCTCCCGGACGGAATGGGAGGCTCTCGTTTCTTGACCGAGGTTTTTCTCGGAGTCGAACTGTCGTCGCGAAGTTCCGCGGGGGTCGGATTACTCCGAAACGATAAAATCAGAAGGGTTTCAGTGAAAATGAATTGCCGTCGTGCATCGGGACGGGAAAAGGCATCAAGGGGAGGAGGCCATGGCGGCAGACGACAAAAACTTCGGCGTCATGGGTTCCGGGGATAGATGGTGGGTTCGAAGCCTTCAGGCCTCGTCATYGGCYCCACRAAGTGGCCGAACCCTCGGGTCTTTYGCTGTAGAGGTGGTTGGTTCGAGGCCTTCAAGCCTCGGCGTCGGACTCATAGAGCCCGCGCRAAAGTTTCCGGGAGGGTAGAGCGGCGGGAGGACCYGCCGGCATCTGAATTCGAAATTGCGCGGGCAGCGCCCCCGCACTACGGGAAAGCTYGGGGAAACGTGTYGCTCCCTCGTAACCCAGGACCAATCGWCGCCACGAACACGAGTCCCCCTSRCGACACCAGCRACAATCAAACTGCGGTCGCCAMGAGGCGTGAGCGGCCGACCAGGGCAAMACCGTTAAACCCGTATAAGGCAATATTAGAGTCGGGGAATCAAAGCRATCMATCAACACARACCCGTTCCCCCTTATCTCACAAGCCCGAGGCGGGTCTTGCCAACACACTTGCTCCGTCCGCCTCAGCGCGCGYCKTACGTCCGCATCGCAGTAGACRCTGTCGTCATCTGTGATGGGGAAGGTYGGTAGCGAAATGAGACGATCGGAGGTACGTGGTGAACACGGGCAAGATCYCGCGTTCCCGGTCATCCGAACCAACACCGAATCCATACAACAAACRTCGCAACTCTTCTCTCTCGAAAGTGGGTGCGTAGGGGGAGGATGACGAAATCTAAGCTTTCTCYCCTTGGCGGGGGCGTCGACCKTCCGCGCRGACGCAGGCGGTTGACGTCACCGGTACGAGGACGAGAARCTCTAAAAGGCGATGACTGTTAGTTCAAGAGGAAGGCGATCGAAAAGGGAGAGARAGAGAGTTACGCCAAGSCCGYRCGGGAGCGCARGAAAGGYCGCRGAGGGGAGGGGAACAACCGGATCAACACACTCATACTCCTAAGCAGACGGTCCCCSAGTTCAGTTTCCCCATCCCCSCCCGGACGAGTACATACACACATACATGCATGCAATCAACAACCCTTGTCAGGACATCTAATCATCCATGGACCTTCGACGTCACTCATGCGCATAACCAGCTCCCATCACTCGGGGCTTCACACACACGACATGCATAGAAAAAGCAGCAATGGAGATAAAAGCGAGTCCTTCTTGTACACAAAAATTTCAATTAACTGCTGCCCCTAGGCGCAGCCTTCAAAACTTCCCGAGACCACCGACCACCATAGCCACAAGGCCCTGCCGCGGCCGGCGTCCAATCCCCACCACTGCTCAATCCCTCCGACTGCTTCGCCCCGAGACTACCGCGGGTTCCACCCCACGTCGTCACTCCGCCAGTCCTTGGGCTCGTCGAGCCTGTTCGACGCCGCGGACTCTCGCGCATAGCTTGCGCAGCATTGCAGCCGAGATCAAAGAGAGGGAGAGGAGAGGGTTCCGCAAATTTATAGCGCGGGGGGCGGCGGGTTAACAGCGCGAGGTGCGGGCAGCGCAGGGTGAAGATGAGCAGGACGGGAGAGAGAGGTGGGGAGTTAGAGGGTTCAATCCGCGGGATTGCATGGCTACGTGATTGGGGTGTTTGTCCAAGTGGTGCACGATTTCCCGCTTTCCACATTGATCCGAGCATCCCAACTATGCAGCCAATCACTTCGCGGAGGAAGACGGGGTAAGGATCAAGTTGGGCGTAGGGGAAGACGAAGAGTCCTGCATGGGGAAAACGCGCGCAGCAAGAAGGGAAGATGGCGTGAGGATGAAAAGCAAGAAACGGGGATGCGAGACGCGCGAAGAAACCGGAGCTTAGGCGCACGCGCAAAAATTTAAAAAGTCCCAACCGCAGCCATTTCTTGGTTTTCATACCGCGGCCGCTATTCGCCCGCGGGAGTTATTAACCAAACAAAATGAAAAAGCCGTTTCAAAAAGAAAACAAAAGCAAAAAGAAAGAAAAACCCCTTTCTATCCGTGTCCGTACTTCGGGGCCTCCGCGGGATTTTTCCTCAGGGATACGGCAAGCTGCGCAGTACGGATCTGAGCTTATCACATCTGTGATACGCAGGGGGTTCCGAAAAATTAGCAGTCTCCCGACTGCTGATGCCATCATATCATGGATGATCGGGCGGCCTCTTCATCGTCAGTTGGCCCGATCATCTTCCAGATCTACGTGGATGCATCCTGCATCCTCCATCGCCTCCTCCCATAGTATACATTCGATCGGGCGGCCCCTTCATCGTCACCTGGCCCGATCGGTAAGTAAAAAGAATTTTTTTTTTTTTTTTTTTTTTTAATATATTGCGCGTATCCTCGCGCGAGCTTTTAGATCCGGAAAAGAAGAAGAAAAAGAGGATAAGGAGAAGGAGAGGACAGGGGAAAGGTAGACGAGGGTGATCAGAGGAAGTGATCTATGTCGGGATTGAGAGGGGGCGGAATAGGTGGAAGAAAAGCGGCCATTGCCACAGGAGTCGTCGGCGCATCTTCCTCATGGAAGTGATGTTGGACGAATGAGGGGTAAAGGAAAGCCCCCGGCACATGTGAGAGGACACGTGGCACCAGATCCGCTACCGCTCGCACCACCCGCTTGCGCACTGATCGGGGCCCTGGACCCGTCATCACCACATGAGTCTCGGTGTAAGGCCGCCGCTCCCGCTTCTGCGCCTCGAAGACCAGGAAGTGGTACATTGCATTTGGACGCTGCCCGGTCTCGTAGATGAGCGTCCCCGCGTAGTCCGTGTTGTTTCGTAGGGACAGCAGCGACTGATGATCTGTTACCAGCACGAATTTCTGGCCGTACAGATACGGTCGGAAGTGCTGAATCCCCCACACCACCGCCAGGCATTCACCTTTGCACGCTTCGTAATTAGCCTGCGCCTGGCTCAGCGTCTTGGACACATACTCAACGACGTGCTCCCTTCCGTCCTTGCCGTGCTGAGTCAGCACCGCCGATATCGCTTGAGGTTGCCAGTCTGTGTACAGTGCGAACTGTCTTGTCGGGTCGGGGCGTGCCAATACAGGAGCAGATGTCAGAGCCTCCTTCAACGCCTGAAACGCCGCTTCGCATTCCGGCGTCCAGATCAGTTGTTCCTCTTTCTTCAGCAGGTTCGTGAGGGGCTTCGCTATGCCGGCGAACCCCTGGATGAAGCGTCGGTAATAAGATGCCAGCCCTAGAAAAGCCCGAACCTGGGTGAGTGTGACCGGCGCCGGGGCATCTTGAACTGCTGCCGCCTTCCTCGGATCCGGTTTTAGTCCGTCGACTGTGATGATATACCCCAAGAATGAGATCTCCGACAAGAAGAACTCGCTTTTCTCCAAGGCCACTTCGAACCCTGAATGTTTCAGTGCATGCAAAACCCACTCAATGTGTTCCACGTGGTACTCGTGTGTTTTTGAAAAGACCAAAATATCATCCATGTACACTATCACGCAGAAATTGATCAGGGGCTGGGTTAGTCGGGTTTTGTTAACGAACTCAGCGAAGGCCATATTCATGGCCCGCTGAAACGTTGCAGGGGTGTTACAAATTCCCACGGGACACCGGACCCATTGCCACGTGCCCTCAAACAGGACAAAGGCAGTTTTGGGTCGGACTGCGACGTGGTGAAAACCGTGTCGGATATCGAACTTGGAAAACACTCGAGCGGCCCTGATAGCATCTAACAAATCATCAATTCACGGCAAGGGATACACATCTTTAGTAGTGATGGCGTTCAATTTTCGGTAGTCGATACATACCCGAACCGAGCTATTTCATTTTGGCACGAGGACCACGGGAAAAGACCATGGTCCCAGCGATGGTTCGACCCACCCCAACCGCTCGAATTCCCGTACCCTTTCCAACTCCAGCTGCCTTTCTTTAAGGGAATATCGGTACGGTCGGCAATGTATCGGGGCGTGATCCCCGGTGTCAATCGCATGTTGTATCAAAGGGGTTAGCCCTATGTCGTGGTCCTGAATGCTGACGGCCTCAGGATAGGCCCGTATAACTGCCAAGAGGAGGCGTTTGTATTCGTCCGGAACACGGGCTGGTAACTAAACTTCTACGGTTCCCCCAGGAAAGGAGACCGTCGTCGTAACCATGGGGACCACCGCGTTGGCATCGGGCGAGGCCCCGAACAAAGAGTTGTCGGTTTTCGCCGAAAGGACCGTCGCAATAAGTTGGCTGTCCGCCGGACTCATCGGCTCGCTTCCCATGGCACTGTCGCTGTCCAGTTCGGGTTCGGCCGAGGGTTCGACCAAAAAGGCCTGCGCCAGTTCCCTTGGTCCCCACCGATACTCCCTCGTTCGGGGTTGAAACGACACCCCCTCTTTCAGGAGTATCGCAGCTTTTTCATTCGTGAGTAGGGGCCGTGGAGGTCGAAAAGATAAATCGCACAGCCCCCTCAGCTCGGTAAACCTTTCAGGTAGGGGGTCCGTCCGGAGATACAAGGACACAGGGGGTTCCGAAAGGTCAGCTATTCGAGACACCCTCAGCAGGGGTTCCCCCTGCACCACGGAGGAGAACGCGTGCGACCAATTGGACTCGCTCCGAACTATTTCCAGTGGTTCTCGCCACCAAGAATGGCGCCACCGATCCTGTACTCGGATCGGATATCGGTCGGGTGCATCAGCCTTGTCAGTTTCCGTCGAGGGTTCATTTTCGTCTGGTGACAGGCGTCGGATCATGTTGATTTGATGGGCTTTGGTGGTGAGGCGAGGCGCCGGCTGGGTGCGCATGCGCACCGCCAGTCTCATTGGTATCGTTTGGGGTTTGGGGTGGGCCAATGTGAGCACCACCTTACAACTGTCAAAGTGCATTCGCGCTCCGACCGCCGCCTGCCACGGAATGCCTAGCAGAACATCATACGCATGTACATCCAGCACGATCACGTCACACAAACAATGCACCCGCCCCACCCGTATGGGCACGTTCGTTATTCGCCCTTTACAATGAATATTATCTTTCGTAGCGGATGTATACAGTTCATCCGGCCGGAGGGGCTGAACCTGTCCTTCCCTTCCCAACTATTTCGTCAATCTCCAAGAAATGGAGACCGCCGATGATCCCGAGTCTAGGATGGCGGCTGAGGGGTTTCCCCAGACCTCACAGTCACACTCTAAGCTTTTCCAGGTTATAGGATAGGCCCTGAGGAATACCTCGGGTTTTTCCGAGGCAGAATCTACGGTCTGGATCATCCCTATCCGATTGGCTTGGTGCACCTCTGAGGTCGAGGGCTGTGACTCCTCGTTAGTGGGTGGGTCCCGTAGGACCTGCTTTTTGCCCTTTCGACTTTCCTCGAATCGGCACCTGTTTTTGAGGCACCGTTCGATCAACTTTTCGTTAGCCGCTTCGGAAATGCTTAGCAGATATGGAATAGGGACGAGGATCCGAAGATCCAGAGCCTTCAAGGCATCCAATACGTCGACATGGCCATCCTTGTATTCAGGACCAGGTACCGCAAGATCCTCGAATCCTGGTCGCCACGGGCCGAGGTCGCTTTCCTCGGTAATCCGTTGGACGTGACGTATCACTCCAATGGTCCCGGGTTCGAACATTGCTGCCGCCATATACTCATCGGGTCCCATCTCAGTGGCCGTCGGGGTCACCATCTCCGTCGTTCCTGTGTCCATTACCGTGGCTACCCTCCCCTGACCTGCAGCGGTGGGAGCAGCCAGCGGGATTTGGGAAGGTCCGGTGGGCCCGCCCTGAGTTCGGGGTTTCGGACAATCTTTCGCAAGGTGGCCTGGCTGATTACAGTTGTAACAGCGTAGGGGTGGGACAGCCCCGGCCACGGCCGGTCTTATCATAGGGGCTCCGACAGCCATAGCCGCCTGTTGCCGTTGTGCGGCGGCTATGCGTTGTCG